TCAAATGTGATTGCGGCTTCGAATGCGAAGACCGTGTTCATGTAGTCGCGGAATGTCCGTTGTACAAGAAGGAGAGGGAAGTGTACGTGACTGAGCTGGGAAAAATAGATGGAACGTACAGGGAGATGTTTGAGGCATGGAATAGAGAGGAAAGGATGGTAGCTGTACTGGGGCATAGGAGGTGGGTTGAGAAGGCGGGAAGGATATCGTTAGGATAGGCAGAGTAGGCAAGAGCATTTTTGAGCCACCTTTGGCAAAGTAGNCATAGGACGGTAGACGACGAAGACGACGAGTTCAAATGTGATTGCGGCTTCGAATGCATGACCGTGTTCATGTAGTCGCGATAATGTCCGTTGTACAAGAAGGAGAGGGAAGTGTACGTGACTGAGCTGGGAAAAATAGATGGAACGTACAGGGAGATGTTTGAGGCATGGAATAGAGAGGAAAGGACGGTAGCTGNGTCCTGTGGGAACAATGCTCCGTCCTCTCTAGGACGCGTGGTCAATGGTCTAACCGCTAAGGCATGCAAAACATAAGAGTACGCCCCCCCCCCCTTCCTTCTCTTTCTCTCCCCCCTATCCCCCTCCTTTCTGCCTCGTACACAAGGACGAAGAGCAGTTCCGGCGTGCGATGATGGGGTTCGACGGAGAAGATGGAGGTTCAATGGGGACCGGGGCGGCGGTGGCCGTGGCGCCCGCCGCCAAAGGCGGCGGTGACGCGATGGAGGTCGATGTCGATGCTACAGCAGGTGTGTTTTTACGGCATTTTGACAAATGGAGGGGGACTTTTGGCGAAACGACGTCCCTTGAATATGGTGTTCCACAAGAAGCGTGTGAGTCCCATCCACCGGCCAGCCGGCCCGTTGCATCGCTCTGTGGCGTGTGGCAAGCATGTGTGTGTGTGTGTTTTCGTCCTATTTATTATGGCGACAGTTCCCCCATTTTTCGTGGTGAGACGTGTGCTACACTTTTCAGTTTATTTTTTCGTACAACTACAACCATCCAGGGTCACACAGGAGGGTATTAACACCAGGCCTTTTTCTTTCTTCTTTTTATTTCTGTTCATGCCCCACCTTCCTCCTGCGGCGCGTGCTGAATTTTTATTGTTATCGCGAGAAGGGTCCAGCCGTGCCTTTCCCTCGTCACCGGTGCTAACGTCGAAGTTTGGTACTCACGAGAGCTTGTCAGCTACATTTCGCCTTCACCCGCACATTTCGTAAATTTTTCACCGCATCGGGATTCGAACTCACGACCTCTGCGACTAGCGGATTACGAGGATACCACTAGACCACCGGGGCGACCGGCTTGGTGTTTTGTGGTTGTTGTTTGCGACCGCTTTGTGCCCGCCCCACCTTCTCTCGCCCCTGCTGCTGCTGCTGCTGTTGCTGCTGTTGTTGTCGTAGGTGCTGCTGCCGCCGCCACGGGAGGCGGCGCATCCAAAGATAAAGGAAGTGCCAACCCACAAGAGTTTGCGGTGGACTACCCGCTGTACCGGTCCTTCTGGAGGCTGCAAGAGTACCCGCTGCAGCAGGACAAGGTGGTGAAGGGGGAGGGGGCCAAGGCGACGTGGGAGGCCCTACTTGCGGACGTGGATAAGGTACGGTACGGTACGGTACGGTACGGTACGGTACGGTACGGCAGGCGTAGTGTGATTGATGGCATGGATTGGTGGTACTCGGGCATGTGGTGTGTGATAGGTCGGATGGTGTTGGAAGTGAAGATGTATGTTGGGGCATCATGCGACAAGCATGATGATGCGTCGAGGCTGCGGGTGCACCCGCTCTACGCATGCAACTTGGTGCTCCATCTACCCTTGGCAAGAGAAGCGCAAAGAGAGAGAGAGAGAGAGAGAAGAACCCGCCAAACCTACCATCACCAACGTGCGCTGGAACACCGACTCTCCTTTGCCCCCAAACCGTTCGGCGTGGCCTCGTCCCTTGACGGTTTTAAAACGCAACATCAACAACAACGGTACAAAAAGACTCTGGGTGCCTTCGAGGCGAACTCGTTCTCGGAGCACGACCTGCGCCTCGCTCGCGAGAAGTGGGCCGCTGACGGCGGCGGCTGCGGCGGCTGCGGTTTGTCGTCTCCGTCGTCATCCGCCGCGGCGGCGGCAGCGGCAGCGGCAAAGGGGTCAGCAGCAGGGGCGGCGGCTACTACGCCCGGCAAAAGAAAACGAGGAGGGGGTAAGGCGGCGGAGGCGGCGCCGGCGCCGGCAGCGAGGGATGGGGCAGAGGGCGAGACCGAGACGGGGGGGCCCGTGTACTTCGGGCTTAAGTACCTGACGAGCTCGCGCTTGTTGAGGCTGCAGCTGCGGGACCCCACGCTGAGGCTGCAGGTGTGCTTCCGTGCGTGCACGCGCGTGTTTGTTGCTGGCATCGACCACTTTAATCGTCTGGCAACCAACGGAAAGACGTCGGTGTCAGTGCGATTGAAAACAGAAAATGCTTGTGAATGCCATGATCTGGGACCAACCCCTTGAGGGGGCAATGAGGGAGTCCTGTGCGCGCGTGATTTTCTTACAGTATCTTTTTGTAGTGACGGCGGACGTATTCACGGACGATGTTATTGTCGTTTGAACTGACCACACACACCTTTCAGAACGAGAACCTTGAATCCCTTCACGGTGTTATTGTTAAGTTATGACCCCCCCCGCCCCCCTCCCTCTCTCCGCTGCTGCCACCCACCCAGGTGCTGACACAGTGGCTAATTCTCGCCGCATCCCTCAAGAATAAGGTGGCAAACGCGAAGGACTCCCCGGTGAGCGATACTCAGCAACGTTCATTCTTGCTGGTGTCGTTTTTGGTGTTTGATTATGTTGAATTTCACAATCATTGCTGCAGGTAGTGGCTTCCTGTTGCCTGTTTTCCTACGTGCCGCCGCTTGTTTCGTATGGTATGTTTTCGTATTCCATTCGTGTGGACATGGGGGGGGGGCAACCTCTCATTTTTTTCTGTTGTCAATTTTACTGCTCATTGATTCAGGACTCGGGGATTCCCTTCCGAGTATCTTGTTGTGGAGGACGACTAGCTTGGAGGTTGAATCGATAGGGCTGAGGCGAATTACGTTGATTTTCACAACAGATCCGCTTGCTTGGCGATAGGTTTCCATTCATGTTTCCTCTCCACCCCCCCCAATACCTCGCCACCGTCTAGATCTCCCAATACCTGTGGTACACAAGTTACATGCTCCGCATGTGTTCGCCGTCGATTCCGGATGCCTCCCGCGTTATAGTGGCACGTATATATATATATATTGCGCCACAAAACTGACAATGTCCAAAAGAAAAACACATCCAACCACGTACTCTATGCTGGCGATGACACTGTAGTGCCAATTGCCACTACTTCCTCACGACCCCCACCCCCCTCGCCCCGCCCAGAATTCGGTGGAGGACCTCAAACCTCGCATCGAGCTCGCGAAGAGATTGGTCAAGGCGACGCCGCCCCGGGGCGAGGAGTACCTTAGCATGCTGCAGATCGTCCTCAACCGAGAGACCTTCTGGACGCAGTGGAAGGACGTGAGTTTTGTTGCCCTTTGGTGTGTGTGTGTGTGTGCGTGTGTGTGTGTTTTTTTTTTTTTTTTTTTTTTTTTTTTTTTTTTTTTTTTTTTTTTTTTTTTTTTTTTTTTTTTTTTTTTTTTTTTTTCTACAGTCTGTTTTTTGCGTGGAATGATCGAAAGCATGCGTAACAACAAAAGGCATTGTTTTTTTTTTTTTTCGCGTGGGATGGGTGAACGCATACACAACAACGGAAGAAAAAGAAGACGGTGCAATGCATTTGGAAGATCAAGATTGTGTCACATGTCACAACAGCAGCGGCTACTGCTTTTTTGCAGCATGGCTAAACATCGGAAAATCGCCAGCTTAGAAAACGTAGATCGAGAAAAGAAACAACACGTACCGGTGCGTACCCCTCGTTGCGCGTCCGATTAACAGAGAGTAAGGCAAGCATTATACTACGTGCGATTAGATGAACCCCCCTTCCACAGGTAAAACAACAAGGGGGGTAGACAACCCACGGAGTGGGTCAAGGTTGTAGGTCACGTATGGAAAGGGCTAAGAATTGACGAAGACGATACGCTGGATACGGAGGGTCTAAACGGGTCCAAGGAGAAGGTATCTGCTGCTTTTACCGAGAGAGAACATAATCTAAGAAAAGAAACCAAGGACAAGGAGGGTATAGAAGTGTACGGAATGTTGAAAGAAGGAATAGGGCTCAAGGAGTACCTATTATTCTACATGGACCAATGGATGCCGGGACAAAGCTAAAGGTCAAATTCAGGACCGGGGGCATTGGCCTTAGAGAACGTAGCCGAAGATTTCGGAAGGTAGACGATGAAGACGCCAAGTTCAAGTGTGATTGCGGCGTCGAGTGCGAAGACCGTGTTCATGTAATCGTGGAATGTCGGCTGTCGAGAGAGAAGTGTACATGACTGAGCTGGGAACAGTAGGAGAAAAATATAGGGAGATGTTTGAGGCATGAGACAGCCAGGAGAAGACGTTAGCTGTACTGGGGCATAGGAAGTGGGTTGAAAAGGGGGAAGTGATATCGGTAGAAATGACATCGGTAGGATAGATAGACTAGGGAAGCCATTTTTGAGCCACCTTTGGCAAAGTAGAAAGGAACGATTGGCCATCGGTGATCGGTCCTGTGGGAACAATGCTCCGTCCTCTCGAGGACGCGTGGTCAATGGTCTAACCGTTGAGGCATGCAAAACATGAGAGGATGCCCCCCCCTCCGCCTACCGAGGACACATGGTCAATGGTCTACAGTAGCCGCTAAGGCATGCAAGACATTGGAGTATGCCCCCCTCCCCCGCCCCGCCATGGCAACAACAACGGACAAAAGTAAATTACTTAGTCTTACAGTAATAACCAACGCTCCCCGGGAGCAGGTGAACAAGTGCAAACTAGCGATTACCGCGGCGGAGGAGGAAGAGGCGCAGATGGAGAAGGACAAGGCGGCCGGAGTCGTCCCGCGCGCCCCGTCGTACCCCAACAAGCGGCCGCGGCCGTCGGCCTCCGTGGCGGCGCGGGAGAGGGCCAAGTACTCGCCTCTCGGGGCCGACTTCCCGCTGGAGAAGATGGTGGGTAGCAATATTCAATCAAGTCTTGTTGGCGTGCTCGCGTGCGCGCTTGTGTGCGTTTTGGTGGTTCTCTCTTGAGAAACCGTGTACCTTTGATTGTTGTTCGTGTAGTAGCGGCGAAACGGCTGGAGAAGATGGTGCGTGACCTTGTTGGCGTGTGTGCGTGTGTTTGGTGGACTCCGTGAGCAACCGTACGGGCGATTTTTTTTTCGTTGTTACAGCGGCGAACTGGTAGAGCCGAGGGCGAACGTGCTGCCTCGAGAGTGGTACCTTGGTGCAGCGTTTTTCTCCCCACGCGCCCCCCTCCCCACCTTGGTTACCCTCGCGGGAACGGAGCTTTCAGGTGTCCATTGCTCCACAAGCAATAGCCTGAACGGCAGGTCCAAGGAAAGCTCTCGACTAGATCTAAATCGCTTTTTGGAACAGGCAGCCAGCCTATCGGCTGTGAAGCACAACCAGCCTTTTGACGGAATCGATAGCACACCTGTTTGCGCTCGCTCTTGCTCTTTTGTGCTATCGGACCCTGAACAAGCAAGCAAGCGACCGGCTGCACCCTAGCTTCTCGACCTCGTTCTCTTCCAATACCTTCCATTTTTGAAGCAAATATACATACAATCACAGAGAGACTGAGTACCCGTTGGACATAATACCACAGTCGGGAGGAATGACGTGTCGAACGAAGCCGTTGCAGTGCTAGTGGGAGTTGAGTTTTGCTGACGCGCACCCGCGGCGTGCTGCGCTCACCTTTATTTTGTGCAGGCGAGCAAGCTGCGGGCAGGCGTCCCGACGTCTCAGGAGCACCTCGAGGACCAGCGGATGTGTGCGGAGGACCCCGATGTGAGCGTTCTTCTATTCGTTGCTGCCGCTGCCTGTAGCCCAACAGGTGTTTGTTCCGTGTCGGATTCAGTGTGCGGGTCTGGTGGACACTGCTGGCTGGTTCGGTGTGGGCCTCTTGGCTCGCGCGTTTTTTATCCTGCGGTCCTCTGTGTGTGTCCTCTTGTTGGTATCGACCCCTGGGTCGTACACGAGGAAGGCGGCGGGTAGACACGCGTCTATATACTCGAGCCGGCGCAAGCGCTCGCACCACCTAAGTTCTTGCGAAGGAGATCCTGCGCGCAAGCTACCGCTCTCCCGGCTTGTGTCATCCTCTCTCATCACTCGCGCCTCGAAGTTTCTTTGTCTGCTGTTTTCCTTCTCCTGGCCTTTTGTTCAGTATTGCCCAACCATCCCCCCCCGGTTGATGTTGGGATCGTCCTTACCTGTGCCGCTCGTTCTTCTTTCGCTGACGGGGCCCACGTTTGTGTTCAGACCCCCGCCTCGGAACTGCCTAGCGCAAGCCCCCTCTACACTTGGCGGGCGCTACGCCTGCTCGGCAGGGAGAATCCAGCGAACCTCGTGGGCTGCTACGATGGAGACCTTGTCAAGGTGTGTGGCGAAGGAATGCTGCTGGTGCTGTGGCACACGGCGTGATGGTGTAGGCATAGTGGGGTATGATACGATTTTTATCCACGGTAAAGCAATAGCGCCGGTTACGGCAACGTGGAAAACGGTGCCGTCAGGACTCGTTGCGTGGGATGGTTTGCTGTTAGAACCGGTTGTCCAGGTGGTAAGTGGCCCTCCGTGTACGGTCCGTTGCGGGGTGTTACGACGAAGGCTTTGCCAACATTAGGCGCGTCACAGCAGTGCTGGCCTGCCCGTCCGGCATGATTCGTCAAGTGAAGCACATCGTTAGCTCCCCGCTGCCGAGAACCGTCAACTCGGAGTCTTTGCCAAGGATTTACCAGTTTTAAGTTTTTATATATGTTCACATGGTGTGAAAGGATCTAATAACGACGAGCGAGTGTGGGAGAGGCTGTGAGGTGTTTTACCACGTACATACCCTTTTACCTCCCCAACATGCTGTCGTGCGGTTCCAATGAAGTTCATTTTCCTCACATTCCGCCATCCACCGCTGTTGTGTTGTAGGAAACGTGTTCGATTTACTTGCGATCCCGATATTGTACTATTAATAGTTAGGATGCAAGATTTTTATTTTCCTCTCCCTTTGTAGAGCTCGACGGGTGCACGGCTGTGCTGCTTCTCAAGCCTCCGAACTCCATGCTCGGGTCTCGGTGCTGAAAACGAATGGCCGCCTTCGATTCGGCCCAACCCGTATTTGCTTCTTGCGTGTTTGTCGAACGGTTCCGCACAACTGCTGTCGCTTGCGTTGTGTGTGTCCAGGCCATGGAACGACTCGACAAGGCTCAAGCCGATGCCGAGGCGGCGGCGAAGGCGGCGGAAGAAGCGGCGGCGGCGAAGGCGGCGGAAGAAGCGGCGGCGGCGAAGGCAGCGGAAGAAGCGGCGGCGGAAGAAGCGGCGGCGGCGGCGGCGGCGGCGGCAGCGCCCACACAACCGACTAAGGAGGAGGCTACCGTAGACCCCCCTGCGGCAGCAGAGGCAGCACCTGCGGCCCAGCCGGTGGGAGGAGACTCAACGGCAATGGCTGTAGACAGAGAAGAGAAGGGCCGGAACGTGGCGGTCAAGAAAGAAGAAGCGGCGGGGGCGTCCACGAGTGGCGAGGCGGTCGTTCCCGCTCTCGTGGTGTCTGCCGACGGTTCCGGTGCCGCTGACGCTGCCGCCAAGGCTACCACTGCGAGTACTGCAGCCGACGCCACTCCCGCTGGTGATAGGGCTGATGACAATGGTCTGGCCCCTGACGGGACCGTGGTTGCTGGTGCCGTCGTGACTTCTGCAGCCGCCACCGATGCCACTGCCTCCAAAGCTTCCGCTACGCCTGCTGATGCCCCCACGAACCCTGATGGCAACGGCGTAGCAGTCACGAAGGGCGCGGCGGCAGCGGCCGCCGTTGAGGGAAGAAGCGGCAACGTCGTTAGTCCACCAGAAGAAACATCCGACGGCGGCGGCGGCGGCGGCGGCGGCGAGAAGCCGAACGCCGTTGCGGATTCAACGGCGCCTGCTACGGACGCAGGGAAGGAAGCAGCAGCGGAGGAAACCCCAGCGGCGGTGACGGCAGCGGCGGCGCAAAAGTCCACCCTGTCACCTGCCAGAGTGACTAGGACAAGCTCGAAAAAGTAGAAAGGACCGCAGCGAAGGCGAGGTGCATGGGGTGTGTGGGTCGGAGGCTTGTGCTGCTGCTGCTGGCGGTTAAGAGAAGTGCTGTGTTTGCTACTCACGGTGGCAGAATCGGCTCCGATGCAGGTGGAAAGGCGCACCGTTGAACTCTGTGTTAGCCGAAGGGCGTGGTCAGGACGTTTGGGGACAGCGTGCGCTCGGTCTCGTGTGCTCGGTGTTCGTTAGCGGCATCCCAGAAGGAATTCGTGTGCAAGATATCGACCCCAGCGTGAGGTATTCTTCGTGGCACGATATACTTGCGACGCAGTGTTGAGAGTGTAGTCAACAGCGGCGCTTATTTGCGCCGGAAATCGTGCTGGCCTGGCTTCTTCGATCCTCGTCACAACGACTGCTTGCGGGGGAAAGTACTTGAATGAGAACGAGTTGCACGCTCGAAGTATGGGATTAATTTATGGCCATGGCAAGTGGCCATGTAGACGTAATCGCGAGGGAAAGGGTCTACCCAAGAAATGGCCCCCGGGGCACGCAACGCCGACCGGTGCAATCCGCGGTGTCTATCACCTTTGGCGTGCGTGCTTGTCTCGCTGTCGTTTGTGTGACGCATGTATGCAGTGCGCCATTACACTTAAGGTATATGTAGCGCAACCCTGCCTTTCCCCTTCGCTGCTCCCACTTGCATAGTAAGTGATCTATCAACATCGTCTCTCTGGGTTCACACTTCCACGAAAAGCACGGGTTTCCCTCAAGCTTCATTGGCAAACTTCACACACGCATTTTACCTCCTCTACCCCGAGTATGAACGGAACAATCATCGAGGCGGAGGAGTGAGACAACAACTGCGGGTGATTCGCATTGTACCGCCGTTGCCGACCATACCTTCTGAGCATATGATGTTATTCGTTAAACTGCTTCCAGCTAATGTACCCTGTGTGACTACTGCTGCTGCTGCCAAACGCGCTATATACTCCATACTACCTGTGTGTGAGTACGTGAGTGGGTACTGATCTGATGCAGCAGGCTCTCTGTGTGTCTGGTGTGCGCAATACGTAAACACTGCTGGTGCGCGAAGATACAAAGATACAAAGAAATTATGACCCCCCCCGCTCCCCACAGTCCATACAGTCGCCGTCGCCCCCTCCTCCGAAGCCGGCCTGACTTACACAGCCACCATCCACCATCTCCGAGTCGTATTTGGCTTGCCGCACGACGTCAACCGCCATGATCAACCATCATAAAACGAGACCTGCTCTCTTGAGCAGATGACACGACGGCGTGAATCAAACTGCTGCTCTGTTTTGACCACGCTACTACGCAAGGCGCACCCCCCCCGGCATGTATATTCATCCGACGACGACCACACAAAGCAGGCAAGTCCTCCGAGAGAGTGCTCGGCATCATTAGTCCTATCCTCATTGTGCTGAGAAACCGTAGAGAAAGAGAGAGCGGCTGAGACGGTAGAGCTTGTCCAATAGTGGTACGTGTGGAGAAACGCGTTGCAGAGGGCTCAGTGGGGTGCTTCGTAGCCTGAACGATTCCTTCCATGGGCACGCCAAGCAAATCCAACCCTTGCACCTGGTCCAAGACGATCGAAAGCACCGAGGGAGTACATAACTCGTTGGGAGGAAAGCGTCCAGGACCACGCATGGGATTCCTATACGTCAACGTTAGATTAACAAAGGTTGATGGTGACAAGCAAAGAGATATAGATACGGCTTGCAAGCCAAGTTACATTTTTGTTTGCGAGGTAGTCTACAGCATGCCAGTTCAGCAGTAGCGGCTACGAGGAATTTTAATAACCCTTACGTGACTGGGTTTTCTCTGCACCACGCATGGGATTCCTATACGTCAACGTTAGATTAACAAAGGGTGATGGTGACAAGCAAAGAGATATAGATACGGTTTGCAAGCGAGGTTACATTTTTGTTTGCGAGGTAATATACAGCATGCCAGTTCAGCAGTAGCGGCTACGATTTATGGAGGAATGGTACGGATTTAACCCCTTTACGACGCACAGGAAAATCGTAGCTCAGAAAATATCACAAAAATATGAAAAAAAAAGAAGAAAAGAACACGCCTGCTGATTGGACGATGATGGACGGTCCCTGACCTGCACACATGGAGAAACCAGCGCCCAAAGCGTCCCCACCTGAGCCGTCTCTAGTCTAAAAGCCCTATCAAATGGCCCCTGCAATCCGATCTAAGCGAGGGGCCATTTGATAGGGCTTTTTGAATACAATTGGAAAGAGCGCCTTCAACGGAGCAAAATAAGGGGTTTTCAAGATATTGCCATAGAGAGAAAACGAGACCCCAGCGTTCAAGCTCCAGGATGCCCGGGTGCCCCTTTCATCCGTGGGTGGAGTGCTTCTTCGAGTTAGGCCCTGGTAACGCTTTTCGCCCAAGCACAGCATGACGCGGCGCAACTTAGCTGTTGAACCTGAGCAGCAGCAGCAGCAGCAGGGCCAACCTGTCAGCGCTTCGCCACAGCAGTTTCCCCGTCTACTACCCGCGTCCGCGCCACCCTAGGCGATTGGCGGTCAACGCATACCCCGATACTCCCCTCGTGGAGGACTTCAGAGGAGGGGACACCCTGGCAATTTTGCGCCAGATGAAGGAGGTGCGTGAAAGCCATCCTGGGCGCGTACGAGAATTTGTGTTCGATGCCGTCGTGGCGGCAGGAGCGGGCTCATGCCTGCACGACGATCCGCTAAAGGCTCTACCAGGAGGGTTGACGCGCGATCAGGGCGTCGAAGCTGCGAAGGAACACCCTGGGCTCTGTGGAGTCTATCTGGCTGGGGTTAGTTTCGACGATGTGCTTGCTGCTGCGGAGAGGCGTGGCGTGAGCGTCACCTTCAACGTTCTTCTCAACCAGGTACGTGCTGTAGTAGTGCTGTAGGACATGAGTACAGCAGGTCTACTGCCCCGTTCTTGTAGGCTTCAGGTTTAGGTTGTCAAATGTAGACATGCCCTCGGTGTCCGTATCAGGCGTGCCCGTTGCTGGCGAGGCTGATGACCCAACCGTAAAAGCGTGTACCATTCGTTTATTGAAGCCCTACAGCAGTGGGACGGTGGCGCTCGTCACACCCAACATTACAGCTGTATCTTATCTACTTCTACGTATCTCGTTGCCTCGACATTCAACCGACTACACTGACTGCTGTTCGCCCTCCCGTCGATTTACGGCTGTTGCATGTTTGTAGAACAATCATTTCGGGCCCAGGACACACAGCTTGGGTCAAACGTAATACACATCATAGTTTGACACGAAGTAGCTTGGTAAATCATGTTTTGCACCCGATACACGAACAATCTTTCTGCTCTTCTCGTCCAAGAGCAGCGGCTGCTCTTTTTGTTTTCTTGGAGGGGCCATCCTGCCCTGTTCTTGCGATATGATGGGTTGGACCACGTGTGCTGACATGTGGATGGAGAGGGTACGGTGCAAACTGACTTCTCTCACGTCCCTGTTTCTCGTTCCTCGCACGCACTCGTGCCCACACAGTGTTGCTTCGACGCCGCCAAAAAGCTTCGTGTGGGTGGCATGGGCGTCCAACTCGCTCGGAAGGAGTGTTTCACTCAAGCGTTCAGGGCTGTTTTTCCCGGTAATGGCACGCCAGACCAATGGGTGGACGGCATTCAGCACTGAAAGCGCGTGATGGTCAGACGTCCTGAAGGCGAGAGGGATGATGGTGGATGCCGCGGTTCGGAATGTAGGAGAGAGCTGTGTGGCGCCTGCAGGGTTGATGATTGCCGTGCCTAGGAATGTAGGAGGTCACCGTGCACCTGGATTTTGCATTTGCCTGGTAAGGGCCACCTCGCTTGTGTCCCGCGCCGCCGGGAGGGGGGGACGGGAGGGGGAGGGAGGTGTCTACTTCTGTTCGTGATGCATGAGGTATTAGGAGGGCAATAATTCCAGGGAAAGAAGCAACGTACCTGGTGCAGCAGTACTTGTTCTGACCTCGACGTAAGCGATTCCTCTAGGCGTGGCATATCAACATGGGGTGGCGCGTGGGAAAGGAACGTTATTGGAGTGTACAAGGAAGGGCCGAGAGNCACCTCGCTTGTGTCCCGCGCCGCCGGGAGGGGGGGACGGGAGGGGGAGGGAGGTGTCTACTTCTGTTCGTGATGCATGAGGTATTAGGAGGGCAATAATTCCAGGGAAAGAAGCAACGTACCTGGTGCAGCAGTACTTGTTCTGACCTCGACGTAAGCGATTCCTCTAGGCGTGGCATATCAACATGGGGTGGCGCGTGGGAAAGGAACGTTATTGGAGTGTACAAGGAAGGGCCGAGAGTAAGCCGTTGTCAACGAGAGAGAGCAGCATACGTTTTGCGTAATGGTCCCTCTCGTGCCCACGAAAAGAGACATGCAAATACATGTGGTATTCGGGACGCAAAATTCGCAGGGAGCCTACAGTATGCTCCTTCCCTTCATGACTTGAAAGCTTTCTTTTCCCTCCCAGAGTTGGAGGCTGCCGCGAACGCCGAGGCGTGCTTGGGCGGGTCGCTGAAGCAGCGACGACACATCACAACGCCACCTAACGTTTGACACCGAGTGCACATGCAGACTATGGTAACTTTCTGCCCCCTTGGCTTCCCCTTACTCTTTCGCTTAAGGTTGGTTTCTTTGCGACTGTCACACATCCTCCCCGCGCAATAGAACCGTTGGCCTTGTATCAGAATCTTGAGGTTGCCATCCCCCAACTTTGCGCTGATTGCCGCCACTACAGGGGTGTTTTGATGCGCCCGGCGCCCCCTTTCTGCGTCGCCCAAGTTGCATAAGGACATGAGGTAGCAGCTAAGCTCCCTCATCCATTTTGCTCTAGACTGCTTCTCTAACGTGGTCAACCGCTCTTCCTCCTCTCGCAGCCCCTTGAAAAACAGCCCATCTGCAGTTTCTTCGCCCTCCATCACCCCCTTTTGTTCCAACTGCTTGATTGCCTCCGCCACCCCTCTCTGCATGTGTCTCAACCACCACCGAAACATCAACCACGCGTTCGTACAGGCCTGCATCAAATTCTGTTCAAATAGACGTCGCCAAAAATAATTTTTAGCACGGTGTTTTGACAGGTACGCTCCGTTGTGCTGGTCCGAGATATCTACTCCCCCCATGTACTTGTTGTAGTGGAATCTACACCAAGGCTGGAAGCCGTCTGCCTTCGACTTTTGTCCCGCCACGTGCTTGCTGTCGATGTGGACGGAAACGGCGAGGGCGCACGGGGCCGGTTGTAGAAGGTTTATGTGTCAGCATGGTCAGGATATGAGCCACGGTATCTAGACACATAATCACGAGCGTATAATCAACCTCTNGGAAGCCGTCTGCCTTGGACTTTTGTCCCGCCACGTGCTTGCTGTCGATGTGGACTGAAACGGCGAGGGCGCACGGGGCCGGTTGTAGAAGGTTTATGTGTCAGCATGGTCAGGATATGAGCCACGGTATCTAGACACATAATCACGAGCGTATAATCAACCTCTGGACGCACATGGTGGCCAGCATCTCAAAACCAGACGCATGTCGTCCCCACCGTGCCCACCTGTACTACTTTGGTAGAAAGTGCTTCGGGCTGAGGTGGACTGTGGACAGGAATTGACGACCTTGGAATCCTTCCACTGCACGAACACCAAGGATCCGAAGCTCGCGAACACCATTTCGGCCTTCTTCCGGACATGCTGTCTCGTGGCAGTCCAGTACTGCATGGCCTCCTTTGCTCCATGGTGTGTGTCCCTCAGGGTTCCGACGGCAAAAATCCCGTGCCACAACAGGCACATGAAAGGGATGGGCGAGGTGAAATAGTTGTCGCACGCCATGTAGATCCCCGACCTACACAACTGCGCTCCTAGTGCCGGACACGCGTAAAGTAAGACAAAAATCACCATCCGGCACACCCGCCCCAAGGGACAATTAGACCACTGGTGAATCATCGGATCACCGGCGTACCCGCCGTCCGTGTATCCCGTGAGACAGTACCCGCTTCAGCAACATACTCCCCAAATCTTCACCCCTGGAAAAAAAAGACATGCGTCGACGGGGCTGGTGAGCGAACGATCTGCTCCCCTCGTGTCATTCCTGAGCCGACTGGTTCGAAGCTGAACACTAAAGAGTGACATGCCGGGCGAGAAAGTCTCATACCATTTCATCGCTATCACGGGTTACATATCGTATGTTTCCATGAACGAACAGAAGACAACAACGAAAACATGGAGCGTTTTGGAGGAGGGGGTAGTGGTGGAGTCTTGAGCGTTGCATAGCTTATACAGATCCTACGAAGGCACACTATTATTTTGCGTACGTCGCTTGCTCGCCGAGAGTTTGGCATGCTCACCGTTCTTGATGGGCTTTCATGGCATGTGCCTCATCATGAATTTTGCGGAACGGCTAACGCACTTGACCATCTGCTCGTCGAATGAGATCCATCGACCCACCAAAGCGGCTCCAGTCCACGCCGTGTTCAACATGGACTCCAACTCGCTACACGTATACAACGAGAGACGATTGCACGACAGGGGGCGGCAAGCGACCATTGGCGTTACCAGGGTGCGCATTTTGTGAATTCGACACATCAACTTCGTACGGTATGGCGTGCTATATCAATTCGGAACGGTACCCCGTATCCGGAAGAAAAGCTCAAGGCAGGAGGGGAGAGGGGGGGGGGGGGGGGGGGGGGGGGGGGGTGTACTCATAGTCGTGCATGCCGTAGTCGTTAGACCATTGACCTCGCATCCCTACAAAGCCGGGACGGAGCACGCCGGGTTCTCACCGGACCAGGCTCTCACATCACCAAGCGCGAAGCGCCGTGAGATATTCGGCGAGTCGCATGAAGGGTGCGCTGCATCCTGCTAAGGGTGTTCGGCATCTTGTGCTTACTTCCTTGCGTACGGATGACAGCTGCGTATGAATTAATTTATTTTCTGGTGCTTTCACTTCCAGAGACAGTTGTAAGCACTGTGTAACTGCCTCGAGGGTGCTTGACCATTTTAACACAACGTGGTGCGATCATCCCCCTTGCGCGGAGTGAGGGTTCTCCACCCCGCACAACATGATCTACTCGGCCACCATTATGGTTACCGCCAAAAAAAAAAAAAAGCAGTAACCTGGTTGCGAGTTCACGAAGTGAATTCCGAACAAAATGTTGCAGGTTGCCAAGCGACGAAAACCCAACCCCGATGTCAAAACACCGGGGGAGGGGAGGGGGGGGGTGTACTCATAGTTGTGCATGCCGTAGTCCTTAGACCGTTGACCTCGCATCCCCACAAAGCCGGGACGGAGCACGCCGAGTTCTCACCGGACCAGGCTCTCACATCACCAAGCGCGAAGCGCCGTGAGATATTCGGCGAGTCGCATGAAGGGTGCGCTGCATCCTGCTAAGGGTGTTCGGCATCTTGTGCTTACTTCCTTGCGTACGGATGACAGCTGCGTATGAATTAATTTATTTTCTGGTGCTTTCACTTCCAGAGACAGTTGTAAGCACTGTGTAACTGCCTCGAGGGTGCTTGACCATTTTAACACAACGTGGTGCGATCATCCCCCTTGCGCGGAGTAAGGGTTCTCGACCCCTCACAACATGATCCACTAGACCACCATTATGGTCACCGCCAATTAAAAACAGAGGTAAAAAATAAACGGTATTCTGGTTGCCGAGTTCACGAAGTGAGTTGGCTCGTTTTACAACGTCATTGCCAAGCGACGCAACCCCAATCCCGACGGCAAACACCGAGGGGGGGGCTTGTTTTACAACGTCGTTGCCAAGCGACGAAAACCCAACCCCGATGGTAAACACCGGGGGGGGGGGGGGGGGGGCGGGGGGGGGGGGGTGTACTCATAGTCGTGCATGCCGTAGTCGTTAGACCATTGACCTCGCATCCCTACAAAGCCGGGACGGAGCACGCCGGGTTCTCACCGGACCAGGCTCTCACATCACCAAGCGCGAAGCGCCGTGAGATATTCGGCGAGTCGCATGAAGGGTGCGCTGCATCCTGCTAAGGGTGTTCGGCATCTTGTGCTTACTTCCTTGCGTACGGATGACAGCTGCGTATGAATTAATTTATTTTCTGGTGCTTTCACTTCCAGAGACAGTTGTAAGCACTGTGTAACTGCCTCGAGGGTGCTTGATCATGTTAACACAACGTGGTGCGATCATCCCCCTTGCGCGCAGTGAGGCTTCTCGACCCCTCACAACATGACCTACTCGACCACCATAATGGTTACCGCCAAAAAAAAATCGGAGGTAAAAAAAAGCAGTAACCTGGTCGCCGAGTTCACGAAGTGAATTGGCTTGTTTTACAACGTCGTTGCCAAGCGACGAAAACCCAACCCCGATGGCAAACACCGGGGGGGGGCTCACGGCAGGGGGTGATTTTCTTCGGAAACTGTTATTCCGGGAAGAAATTCTGCAGGAAAAGCGAAAAAGTATCAACGGCAGCTTGTACAACATACACCTCTCCCTTTCACTCGCTACCTGTGTTACACCGTGTCGGGCAGCTGTGATCGTGACAAATAACCTTTCGGGTCCGTCTTGAAGACGGGGGGGTTCGTGATTATGTAAGATAGAAAGACGAGCCCCTGTCGTCGGCATATGTGTTGTTGTCGTTGGGAACAAATCTCAGCAGATTTCGTAAGGCACTGCCACGTACTCCAAACCGGGCGCAAAATACCCATTTGAATAGGACAGAGGTATCGTCAATCTCCATGCACAAACCAGCCGCACAATTCATACCGGATATCGTGTAGCGAATCCCAACAGGGCTCCGTGGTCCCGTCCTGCAATCGTTCAGGAGCGCCCGAGCTTGCCATGTGAAAGAAACGGCCGTAGATCAGGAGGAACGTGTCGCGCGGGAGGCAAGCACGCACGAGCTTGTAGTCGTGGAAGGAGTGGCAGCTCAAGTGGTCATGCACCGCTGCGTTCGTTGCCTGAAAATGTCCCCCCGTTGCGGCAGACAAGTCGGACCTGATGCCGATGACGCCCTGCATCATGCTCTTGGTGATGGCCTTCTTCGGCCAGCTCGATTTACCTTTCCTCGCCTTCTTGTCGCGGTGACGCTGCTCCTGTCCTTTGGGAATCTTGGTGCTTCGACAGAAGTTGAAGTACTCGTTTGCCTGCCGCAATGGCGGGACATTTTCAGGCAACGAACGAAAGTACAGTCGACCGCGTCGGGTGTGGCGGGGGTGGTGTTGCACCACCGTGGAGCAAAATGGTATTGAAGGGTGGTACCATGCGCCACAACTCCAGCACTTTCGATCATGGTATGAACACGTGACGGACAGCCCCCTCCCCACCAAGCTAGGAATGCATATCGCATGACCAACGACGTGGTGGGTTAGGTGCTTGCACTGACCTTCCGGACAAGGAGTAGGATCACCGCGGCCGGAGAACATGATGCTGAAGAAGGTGAAGGCAAGTTCGCCTAGCTCGTCCACCGAAAATCTGCCCAACTTGTCTGGGTCGAACGCAGGCAACGCGTCTAATGTTTTTTTTTGACGGTTTGAAGCTTACATCTTCTCCCTCTCCCTCCCTTCTACGGTGGCGGTTGTAGTACTGGTGCCCGTCTCCTCGGTAGGAGCCTTCACCGCCAAAATCAAATCCATCACCACCGTCACCTTTCCCATCGTTTCCGCTCCCAACATTTCCTCCGTTGCCGTTCCCATCGCGGCCGCTCCCTTCACCATCGCCCTCAAACGAGCCCGCGGCACCGCCCCCCGCTCCGGCTCGACTTCTGTCGTCGTCTACCGTGCCCGCTCTCTCACCCCCATTCCCCGCGGCGCCGCTCCCGGTGCTGTCGCAGTTTCCGCCGCGTGCTCCACTACGGGCGTCATGACCGCCGCTGAGGCCGCCATCGTATCTCGCCGACCAATCTACATCTGGATTTATGCCGCGGGTTGTCCAAGAGTGCTCGTCGGCGGTATCCAGGGCCCCGTCTCCGTTCTGCTCCTCGCCTGTGTCGCCCCCTTCCGGAGCGTCCTCCTCGACCTCCGACCTGGCCTTCTTCTTTTTCTGTTATTGGCGACGATATGGAAAAATACGGTGGCAACAGGGGAGGGAACAGGGGTAGCAGGTCTACAGGCTTGAAGCGCACAAGGGTAAAGGGGCGCAGGAGCGACACAGACAGACAAAGCTGAAGAGAGTGAGGGGGCGGCGGGGCACGAAGAGACAGGCAGACGGAGAAGGCTCTTCGCGCACCACAACACTACCATACACTTTGCTGATGCCACAAAATCTGACAAACAAGTACCGGATCTTTTCCAGTTGTGGGAGAAGCAACAAGCAAAGAGAGGTCCCTTCCTTCTAGCCTCAGGCATACACAACGTGGTGCACTATCGATTATTCATTGCGGGAGCACCCCTCCCACCTTCCTGTCGCTCAGTGACATGTATAATTGTTGCCGACACGCCCACGACTATGAAAAATAAATATTTGACGACGCGAAGTCGTACTACTGTGTCTCTCGTGCTGCCGCAATACAACGACAACACTTGACAGCTCAAAAGCGGCTAGCGTTCACCGAAAAAAAAATGCACCCATCCTTACGTTGCGGTCTTGCACGAGTTGCTTGGTGTTTTGCACCAACCCAAAGATGAAAGTCAGGACCTCCTTTCCCCATGCCTCCTGTATCTTGTCCACCATCGCCTTGACCTGCTGAGGGCTCTTGCCACTCACGAACACATCCTGGTCGTAGTCTGCTGCGTCCCCCCAAAAATCGCCCTCACTACCGCCGTCACTCATGTCGTCGTCCCCCTCAGGCTCCTGTTCGTACTCCGCTTCGTCATCACCCCCTTTTCCACCCCTACCGCACGTACGGCCCCGACTACCCTGCCGGCTGTGCTTTTAACAGAACATACCGCAGGGAGATTTCGCTTCGGCCCCATAGGGCTCCCCTTGCTTACGGGCCGCTTGCGAATGTTGCAGAGCAAGTGCTGCGGCGCCCCCGCTTTCCACGCTTCTTTTTTGAGGGAGCTACGCCGGCACCACCTCCCTCTAGCGTCTCCGACCCCGCAGCATCTTCCGCTTTGCTGCTGTAGAGCTCGTGGTTTCTCCTTCGGCATGGGCTTCTCCTTCGACCTGGTCGTCGCCGACATGCCGCTGGCGGAAGGACGTACCGCGGGCTTCGTCATCGCTTTCCCAGGCGGCGTCGCCTTCCGCTCCGGTACATCCCTGGGTGACGCCGTTTTGACGGGCCGGGCACCTCCAGCAGAACGTCGCGATCGCACGCTGCTGCTTGTCTCGGTCTCGTCATCCACGTCGATCGGCACGGGAGAGCCCTGATGTTTCATCGGACACTTGCCCGATGTGGTTGGGCACTGGCAAAAATTGTCTGGAGGCTTCTCGTGCCCAAACACAGATCGACCAGAGGATGCCCTTTGTAGCATGTACGGCTTTGACCATGGGACGGATTCTTGTGGGATCACGATGGCGCTAAAGTGGTTGAATTTTGATTCTGCCACGTTGCTGCTGCTTGGGCTGCGCACTGTAGCCGTACCCGCAGCATCTGTAGCTGCGTTGTAGCCCCCGAAGTCATTGTACACCAGGTGCAGAAACTCATCCCGATAAAGATCGCCAACGAAACTGCACGTGGTGTCGCCTATTTCCACGATTCGAAGCCCACCTCCAGTTTTTGCTTCCCAGACCACGATATTGCAACGTTTCACCGCAGCTACTAACGCAAGCAGACCTACCGCGAAGTAATCGTGCTCCAGTGGATCCTCGATGCCCGCCACCACCTCTCGCACAGTGTTGAGTGGTTTGTGTCTTACAGCTCTTGCAGCTCGGCCGGCGGAGGGGGTGCGCTTTCGGTAGAAACCTCTCTCGTTGTCGAGCTTGCCAAGTCTCAGCATTTCCTCGCCAGACACCTTGTTGTCCACTAGCTGCTCGTAGTCCCAGAGAAAACAGCAGCTATCATTTCCAGGGCGATATCTTCGCGGGTCTGTGTTATCTCGCTTGCTAGTGCACCGAAGACGCTATCTCGCTCGGGGTGCAGCAGCCTGTAGATGCTGTGCAGTGCGCAATGACCATCGCCTGCTACCTCCAGCACCTTGCAATTCGTGGTGTCCTCGGGGGAGATAACTGGGAAACCACCGCCAGTACGCGTTGAGGCTGCATGGAGCAGTTGTCGGCCGTGCTTTTGTGCATCGTGTTCCCAAGATGTCATGTGTCTGTCTTGCCATTCGGGGTTCGCACCAGCATACCACGAGTGGCGGTGTGTGTGTTGCATCCTGAAGCTCCGCAGCGGCCTGCGGCCCATCATAGCATACAACATTCGTCGGATGACCATTGGCCGGACTCTCACAGTCTCGCAAGGCACGAGATCACGCCAAAGAGTTATTTCAACAAGAAATCGCACGAAAGATGTAACTTGGAATCGCTCACATACTAAATGAAAGTAATAAAGAAAACAATAAAAAAAGATGGGGCCAAAAGATGGCCCCCTAAGTCGATTTTGCCCTAAAGGGGTTAAGAGGGGAAAATCGCTTGGCACGACCAAAATCGATATAAGAGAAACTTGGCATATTTCTGAGATTTCTGTTATATCGAGCTGCTGGAGGCCACGTCACGTGGCCACCACACACATCCCACAGCTCTCAACACAGACACAGCTGCAGACACCATGCCCTGCGCAGCGGGCGACCGCTGCACTATGCCCGACGACACGCCAGGCCCGCCTCATTTCACAATACACAAATGCAGAAGCGTCTGCGGGCACTAAGTGTGCCACACGACAACATGATACTTACTCCAATCTCCCGGCACAGGTTCCGAGAGCGTACCGTGACTTGGGTCCATATCGCTCGCCGACCAACAGACAAAGCTGTGTGTGAAGCTAGCCTAAGGTGCTGACGCTAGCTGGGTCATGTGACATACGTAAATGATAGGCTCTCCACGAGCTCTGACGGCACATACTGCTGGAGTGGGCGTCAGGGTGTCAGTGTTCCACGACCTTTCGAGTTGGCTACGGTATACGGTAATATTATCTTGAAGTGACATATGGTTTAAAGGAATACTCTCGTAAAGCGTAGCCAAAACGATTTAACAGAAACACCGATTTAAGAGAGCAAAATTGGCTTGTACCAACCCTCTCTTAAACCGTAGCCGCTACTGTACCAGGTGTACTGGCAAACTGTGCATGCCCATGTGTATCAAGCTTCGTGAACGGGCTCCATTGTGTGCAGGCTCACTTCCTGTCTTCCACTGTCTACATGTAAATAGTTCGGTTCCGAGTGGTGGGTGTGTCCTGTGTCCTGTGTCCTGTGTATCACTGGCTCCGTGCTCCTTCTGTGTTGGAGTACATCACGTGGAGTGAGAGCCATAAGTCAGATCAAATGCTGTATTCTCTTCTTCATTGTGCGTATTGTTCTTGCCCTCGATGTCGTCAACGAAAGGCTTCGACTTTGGGGCGGTAGCGAAGTCCGTCAACAAACTGGAAGCTGATTGGAACAACGACCCATCCGAGTCAGGCACCTTCTACACGCACTCGGGCACCAAGGGTTTGTCCTCTCAGAGCAGGGGCCCTCCTGGTGGAGCTGCCTCGGCACTTGACAACGACGGCCTGCGTCCACTCAAGACCGCGATCGAGGGGGCGGGAGGGCGCCTGGGCAACTATAGATTCATGCCCGGGGATGGTTCCCGCGTGCA